ATTACTACTACTACTACTACTACTACTACTACTACTACTACTACCACGACCAGTATTACTACTACGACTACTACTAGCACTACTACTCCAGTACGACTACCACCATTACTACGACTACCACTACTGCTACTACTACTACTACTACTACTACTACTACTAACGGGCACTCCCACTACTACTGCGGCTATTCCTGCTACTACCACTACTACCACTACTACTACTACTACTACTACTACTACTACTACTACTACTACTACAACTGTTACTACTGCTACTACTACTACTACTGCTGCTACTACTACGTGTACGACTACTAGGGCTACTACTATCACTACGGCATCTGCTACTACCACTGTTTTTGTAAGCATTGCTACTACTACTACGACTACTACTACTACTGCTACTACTACTACTACTATTTTTACTACCACTACTACTACTACTACTACCACGACTACTACTACTACTATTACTACGATGACCTAAATCTACGGCTACTGTACGATTACTTCAGCTACTACTACAACGACTTCTACGATTATTTCTACTATTAGTACGGTCGCTATTTTCAGCTTTACTAGAACGACCAGGTTTACGATTGCTACGACTACCACTACTACTACATTTACTACGACTTCGAAGTTTACCAGTACGACTACGACTACGATCACTATTTCCATCACACTTGCTACTTGCACCACTACTGTTGCTTCTATGACTACTACGACGGTTACTATCGCGACTAGTACTACGACCACTCCTTCCATTCTCACTACGGCTACGACTTCCATTACTACTTGTACTACCGCTACTACTACGACTTCTACTGCTACTAGTAGTAGTAGTAGTAGTAGTAGTACTACTACTACTACCACTACTACTACTACTACTACTACTACTACGATGACTACTACTACTACTACTACTACTATTTCTACTACTACTACTACTACTACTACTACTACGACTACTACTACTACTACTACTACTACTGCTACTACGACTGCTACTACTACTACTACTACTACGACTACTTCTACTATTATTTCTACTTCTACTACTGCTTCTTTACTGCGACTGCTATTGTTGCTTCTGCTTCTACTACGGCTTCGGATACTATTCCTACTATTCTTGCGAGTATTACCACGACTCCGACTATTGCAACGACTGTTGTGATTATTTCTGCTACGACTACGACTATCATTGCTACGACTACTACTTCTACTTCTACTCTTATTATTGCCGTTACTACCACTGCTACTGCTACCACACCTACTACTAGTACTACCACAACTACTAATATTCGGACCTCCGTATTACGATTCGCACGGCCACTGCTCCTACTATGGCGACCACTACTTCGACTACTACGATTGCCCCTGCTCCTCGTACCGCTATTGTTACCGCGACCACGCCTACTACCACTACAACGACGACTACTACTACCACCACTACTACTACTACTACTACTACTACTACTGCTGCTACTACTACTACTACTACTACGGCGACTACGACTACAATTACTACTACGACTAGTACTACGACGGCTACTACTACGATGGCGAGTGCTCCTCTAACGCTAGTATGGTTATTGCTACTACTACGGCTACTACTACTACGACAATTGCCACTACTACCACCATTTCTATGTCTACCACTTCCATTGCTACTACTATCTCTACTACTGCTACTACTACCACTACGGCGGCGACTACCACTACGACTACGACTACTA